AAAATTCCTGAATAACCTACATGTATTGTAAGATAATAAAAATATTTTAAACAATATTAACTTCTCATTTATTCAATAAAAGAAAAAAAAAATGTTTTCTTATCGGTCACCACGCTCAAAAAGTGTAACTTGAATTAATATCAAAGAAAAAACTTGTATTAATATCAAAGAAAAAAATACTGCATAAATAACATAAATAAATAATTATAATTGCATAATATCCCAAGAACCCACTGAAAATTTTTACCGTCATCTGATAACGAAATGAAACATACCCCAAAAGCATGTAAAAACATTGTACTTTACCAAATGGCACCTGTGCCAATCCCAAACCTGAGCAAAGTGGTTAAAAAAATTATTTTATATTAATAAAATCAAATAAGACATGACAGCGCTAGTTTTAAATTTCCAGAAAATAACATATTTAAATATATCTTGATATATATCGTTAAAGGGAAACATTTTCTTCCTCAACATTGCACAAAAACATCTATCCACGATTAGTAGGTAAAAATCATTAAAATATGAATCAATTTTTGCTGATTTAAAAACTTATTTGTATGCCTATTGTTGTGATTCATTTTTACAGGTTGCCCTAGAAACGACAAAAAAACTACTATGATTATGGTTTAAAAGAATTGTCTAACAAGAGTTTATAATTATTACTATCTTTGCAAATGGTTTATACAATGCCATCTTTCTTCCTTTCACACATACACATGGTATAAAAGGTAGGTAAAAATATTAATAATTTAGGTATAAAAGCTAGGTTCACAATGAATTAGGATTGTAATTTATAGGGCAAACACAATTGTCGCTGAGAGTAATATGATTATGTGATTTTTTGAATATAAAATAAATTTTTTTAACCACTTTGCTCAGGATAGGGATTGGCACAGGTGCAATTTGGTAAAGTACAATGTTGTTACATGCCTGTGGAGCATATTTCATTTCGTTATCAGATGACGGTCGAAATTTGCAGTGGGCTCTCTTACTATAAGTTGATAAAAAATGCTATGCAATAACTTTACCGCGGCAGTCTCCGAGTGCCACACGTATTTTTATTTTATCAGTGTTAACAACTATTTCATTAAGCGAAAAGTCGAAAAATGGAAAAATGGAAATTTGAAAAACCGAAAAATCGAAATTCGAAAAATTGAAATTCGAAAAATCGAAATTCGAAAAATCGAAATTCGAAAAATCGAAATTCGAAAAATCGAAATTCGAAAAAACGAAATTCGAAAAATCGAAATTCGAAATTCAAAAAATCGAAATTCGAAAAATCGAAGAAATTCGAAAATTCGAAATTCGAAAAATCGAAAAATCGAAATTCGAAAAATCGAAGAAATTCGAAAAATCGAAGAAATTCGAAAATCGAAGAAATTCGAAAAATCGAAGAAATTCGAAAAATCGAAGAAATTCGAAAAATCGAAGAAATTCGAAAAATCGAAGAAATTCGAAAAATCGAAGAAATTCGAAAAATCGAAATTCAAAAAATCGAAATTCGAAAAATCGAAATTCGAAAAATCGAAATTCGAAAAATCGAAATTCGAAAAATCCAAATTTCGAAAAATCGAAATTCGAAAAATCGAAATTCGAAAAATCGAAATTCGAAAAATCGAAATTCAAAAAATCGAAATTCGAAAAATCGAAATTCGAAAAATCGAAATTCGAAAAATCGAAATTCGAAAAATCGAAATTCGAAAAATCGAAATTCGAAAAATCGAAATTCGAAAAATCGAAATTCGAAAAATCGAAATTCGAAAAATCGAAATTCGAAAAATCGAAATTCGAAAAATCGAAATTCGAAAAATTGAAATTCGAAAAATCGAAATTCGAAAAATCGAAATTCGAAAAATCGAAATTCGAAAAATCGAAATTCGAAAAATCGAAATTCGAAAAATCGAAAAATTTCATATGGCTAATTGTTTCGGAAATATTAAATGTTTTCCGATTTATTGCAAAAATTAAAATTAACAAAATAAAATTGTTGATTAGAGAAATTCGCTACAACACACTCAATACTTATTTCCCATTTAGGTCTTAATAATGAGAAAGTAAGCAAAAACCATTTCAGCGTTCCTTTTTACTGATATAAAATAAAAAAGTTGTACTTAGTTTTGTTTACTTTTGTTTAAAATGCCTGACCTTAGCAAATTGTTATCTGACTACATGACAGTAGTCGTCAGTGATATAGTCTTTTGAATTTCCTTAACAGCATATCAGAAAAATGGTTTATTTAACAGAAATGCACAAAATAACAATCCTACAGTTGATTGCTTATGGAGACAACATACGGACACAAATAGAAGTTGCCCGCTTATCCCAAGGGACAATAAGTAACATAGAGAAGCAGTTTCGCGGTAATGTTAGTAATTAGAACAGGTTTTGTTTTCTGATGAGTGTACCTTTACACTTTATGGTCATGCTAATCATAAAAATGGCCGCCATTGGTCTAAGGAAAATCCTCACTGGGCAAGAGAAGAACATACGCAATGCCCTGAAAAGGTTAATGTTTGGGCAGGAATTGTTGGCGGTCATATCACAGGTCCCTTTTTCGTTGATGGCAATTTGAATGGCGATAATTATTTAACACTGGTCCAAAATAATGTCATGCCATCTTTAACGAACTTACAGTTCATCAAATTTCTAGAGGTGTTCGACGCCCAGACAGAGAACGCGCTACGTGTGACTAAGATAGCTATTGTACAGTCTGCTAAACAAGTTATTTTAAATAGTTTTTAATATTTTTAGGTAATTAAATTTTAAAAGTGTGGAATAGTTTAGGGATTAAATTGGTCTGATTGGACTTTCTTAGAACGTTTTTAAAAGCAGCTAAAGATAGTATGTAGAATTGAAAATAATTATTATGCCATAAAAGGTGTTTTGGAATTCCTTCAACTTTTGAAATTGAGTCAGAAAATGTAAATTTTATAGGATAGCGGAAAATACCTATAATTTTTTTGTAGGTCTTTGTAAATCGTGGAAATAGTTTATATTTTATTTCTACCTTATTACGGAAAATGGTACCTATTATTAATAACGGTTGTTTCTGAAACATTACTAAAATTTTCGAAATTTTGTTTATCTACAAAATAATAAACTATACTATTTAGAAAAAAATTTATTTCTCTTATAATTTTATAAAAAATAACAGGGGAATATTTACATTTCTTGATCTATTAAACAAAACGATAAATTATCTCGACGAATGACACCATGTTCTAGTACGGAAGCTAGCTTTACATTTTTGTTGGTGGTTTCATGGGTTTCATATCAATTTTTTGTAATTGTAGTTTACACGTACATATACCTCTTAACACTTGTTTGCTTTATTAAAAAAGTGTGTTGTTGTGATTTACGTCGAAATAAGTCAAAAACAACTTGAAACCCCATATAAAATCAAAAAGGAGAAACGGAAAAAAATTGAGCCTGTAAATGAACACAACTCAGAAACAAAAATAGCTATCTAATAATAAAAACATAAAATTTGATTCTTGTGCAGCTTCATCTATATAATTAACTGTTTTTGGTTTTTTAATGGTTTTTCTTGGTGATGAAAATTCCGATATCTCACGGTTATCGATTCTTTTTTTCTCTCCAGAAATGCGGACGACAGTGTTTTTAGATACTCTTGTGGCTGCAGCAACACGATCATTTACATTTTTAAATGGTATTGAAGGTGAATTAAAGTTTCCTTCTCTTCTCATAAACTCTATAACATTGGCTATTATTTCGCGAGATTGACTGTTAATCACGCGGCCTCTTAATTTGCTATTAAACTCCATACTTAGGTTCTATTAAACTGTAATGAGCAAAAAACACAAACGAAAATAAAAGAAATGTTTTAGCGAAATTTACATCTGACATTTACGTCTGAATGAAATAGTGAAATACTTGATGCGCAGAGTGTACTTTCATTGCGTAAATCCGTCGGGATGCCTGTCAGTAGTGCTTTCTCTGTCTAGCCGTCGAAAGCCTCTAGAAATTTGATGAACTGTATATCCTGATACAGCATTTCATCAAAGGTTATACCACTTCTTCTTGATATTGATGAAAAAATATCATTTATTTTTCACTTTTTATTTTTTTTATGTGCAATGCGATTGTTTTTAATAAGTATAATTAAATTATATTTTCAAGTTTTACTTGTATTATTTTATTAATAATAACTTTTGACCTATATGAGCTAAAACCCTTTAAAAAATCGGTAAGTATTTTACCCACAACTTCCCTGGATATACAAATTGTAAAAACAGGGAACGCAATCGATCTTCCTCTTGATCCCACCGGAAATTTCACAATAATGATTGGCTGATATTAAAATGGTTCATTTGCACAAAGCAAATGCGATTCCTTTCAATCCCATATTGAATTTTTAAAAACTTATTTAGGATGACATTTTTGGTTTCTAAAATTCTCAGATACCAATTTTCGTCGAAATATGCAGACTTTTAAAAATAATTTTAAAAAACTGCTCGCCCTGTATATCACGGATCGGAACTATAAATGGTTTTGAGCCAGAAAATAACCTTATCAGCATGCAAAATTTGAAGTTTTTCTATTAAGCAATTTTTAAGCTATCCTGCCAACAGACAGACAGTCCGACGGAATGGGGAAACAGCTGGAGGTACGATCGTACCACCTTGTGGCCCTAGCTCTTAAGACTATTAAAGGTGTTTTTGATTTATGGAAAATTTTGAATTTATATTTTAAATTTTTAACACCCTACATCTCGGGTTTACGTTTCTATATCAAAATTCTGGATTAGAACGTTGGTCGAATAAACTAAAGCCTATATACCTACTTAAAAGAGTTTAAAGTACCTATATACAATTTTGAATGATAGAACAATTTTTATAGTATTAAAAGATTTGATAATTTAGATGAGTTGTTTACGGAAAGCATAAAAATAGAAGAGGTAATAATAACCCACATTTACAAAAGTAAAAGTAAATATTGTCGTGTTTACATAACAAAACTAGTAATTGTTTCCTTACCTTAAAGACAACACTTCTACTGATGGCATTTTTCTTAGCAATGAAACGTCTACTAGTTCGCTGCCCCTAAAATAAAAATCAAAGATTAATTTTAATCCATTTTAAGTTTTTCATTTTTTACTTAGTAAATCACTTACCAACAATTTAACCGTTTAATTTTACTAAGATCTGATATTTTAGTTCTGGCAATTACCATTTCTTCTGTTAATCTCTTCGACATTTTGAATAAAATGTATTTAAAGCTCCTAAGCACAAAAAAAATAATGTCTATTCAAGTGCTAAAATACATTTTACGATAATTGCACGGATTGTACACACATACACCATACACCCCAAACGTTACGAGAAAACTGACAAGAAAAAAAATTAATAAAAATAAACAAAAAAGTCAATGTCAAAAACTTCTCTTCTTCTAAGTTTACGTTGTCTTCGCCTAAGTTGCTATGGCTATCCGACCCTTATCGTCTTCCTTTTTTTTATATATCTTTTATCTATATGAATATGCAGCTCTTAGATTTTGACATATCTTCTTTTTAATAAATGTTACGGTTGAAACTATAGGTTGAATATAGTTATTTTAAATTATTTGTCACTATTATGACAAAATATTTCTGCTTATCTTATTGCTCAATCTTTTTGTAGTTTTTTTCAAAAAAATGTTTGTCACCAGATAAACCAAAAATATTTTCAATAATTTGTTCGACTGTATTATTTTTATGTAAGAGGTATTATTTAAAGACGATTAATCCAAATTGTATTCTCGGCGCAAGCGCATTTTTATTCTCTATTCAAGTCACTCGATTTTTGGGGTCGGCCTACAAGGTGGCAAGGTTAGTATATTATAATTTTATTATTTGTAAAAGTATTTCGTATTTGAATTGGATTAACGATTAAGAAATACAAAACTATTAGTGCATGCCTAAAGAATATTATTACACTTAAAACGATTTTCTTGATATTTCTAAAAAAAAAAATTAGGCTTACATAATAGGTAATTCTTTGACTTCTAGGCTAAGATATGTTTGTACGATTCGGTAATTTCGGTAGTTTTGTGCCCTTGTTGGTACAAAATGGGCAACAACAGCAACAAAGGGGTATGGCCACCTTGAAATCAATTTCAATGAGACTGAAATCGGTAAAAAATATCCAGAAAATTACCCAATCCATGAAGATGGTGTCAGCAGCCAAGTATGCTAGGGCTGAAAGAGATTTGAAGGCTGTTCGGCCTATTGGAGATGGCGCAACACAATTTTATGAAAAAGCAGAAATTCAACCAGTCCAAGATATTCCACAGAAGTTGGTTATCGCTATATCTTCTGATAGAGGTTAGTGCATATTACAAATTGACTTTTGTTTTTAATAATCTTTTTATCATTTACTTATTGCATGGTTTAAGTTCTCAGTCAAAATCTTAAAATAGTAGGTAAGCTGGATTTGCTAAGATTGTAAGCTAAAGAAGGTACATTTTTTTAATAGGTCTGTGTGGTGCTGTACATACCAGCGTAGCCCGTTACATTCGTGGTGAATTAGCCAAAGATGACCAAAATATCAAAGTTGTATGTGTTGGTGATAAATCTCGTGCTATCTTGCAACGTCTTTATGGCAAAACTATAATTATGGCTTGCAATGAAATAGGACGTTTACCACCAACTTTCATTGATGCTTCAAAATTGGCTGATGCTATTTTGAAATCTGAATACAAATTTAGTGCTGGCCAGATTGTTTACAATAAGTTCAGATCTGTGGTATCTTACAACACATCTATTTTACCAGTTTTCAGTTTGGCCTCTGTGACGGTAAGAACATATTATTTATCTAAAGAAATTTATATATCTAAGAACCAGGCTGAAAACAGACAGAAAAAATTAGCTTCACAGGGAAACCTTATATTTATGTTAAACATTACAAAGTTTTATTCATTTATCTCAATTTAATTTTCTGTTACATCAGTCTGTTTCTTATGGGGCTTATATAATAAAGTGAAATTGATCACAAATATTTCAATATATACAGGGTGATAGGGATAACAAATTTACAATAATAATTGATTTCTTAATTTTACATTGTGAGCACTGCACCTAGGTTTAAAAACCTGTGTGTGCAAAGATTGAAGCCTTTATATACTTATTATTTTATTGACTTATAAAAAGCATAATTTTAACAGATGCTTAATGAAGCAAAACATCCTTATATTATAGATTATGACCCCAAAGGCAGCTGAACTTTGAGAATTGCTCATGTATTTTTGTGTCAAGAAATTATGTAAAATATCATGAATTTAAATTATCATTTACAATTTCACTAACATGCATGAGAGTAAGAAAAAGATCAATAGGTGTATGAAATAACCATTGTTGCACACATGATACAATCTAGGGGCTTTCCACTGTTTAAAATTTGTACACCCATTGCCTTATTTCCTAAACATTTCCTGCATTACCGAAACATTTCTCAGCTATTGTCGGCATTTACGAGCCATTCCGGCATTTCCGAACCATTGCCGTCATTTACGAACCATTGCCCTGCATTTTCGAACCACTGCCAGCATTTCCTACACATTGCCGACTTTACGTATTGTATTATCGAACTATTTTTGTTTTACTCCAGGGAGCTAAAATGTATGTTCGTTAGGACATTTTTACTTTCCTAACTGTATACAAATAAGGAAAGTATAGGAATCATGATTTTTTTCGACCTCAAGTTTTTGATGATTTTTTACGTTTTGGGGTCCCTGAATCCGTTGCGATTATTGTGTGCATGTGTGTTTGTATACTCGATAACTCATGAATGGATTAAGAGAAAAACACCAAATTTTAAATTTAAGCTTTAATCTCCCCTGTGGTAAGCTGATTAAATTTTGGGAATAGTCGAAACATCTGGGGGGAGCACTTTATACGGTCGTTTTTCTATTTTATAAATATATTTGTTATTTACGCTTGGCGAAGAAAATTCTTCTAATAGAAGTTATTTGTAATATCATTCTCTACATTTTTTGCCCCATGCATAATTTTCCTAAAATGGTCCATATTCGAGAAATTTGACAAAAAGTGTAAAATTCTAATTTTTAAGAAAATTACGTATTTATATAAAAGTTTCTTGAGATGCGATTCTCTATAATTTTTATCCTATACATATTTTTCCTAAAATGGGCCGTATTCAAGATATTTGAGAAAAAGTGCAAATTTCAAAGATAACTTAACGGATTAAAGAGAAAAATACCAATATTTAAACTTGAGCTCGAGCTTAAGCTTTAATTCATCCTTCCCGTATACATAATTTTCCTAAAATGGTCCGTATTCGAGACATTTGACAAAAAGTACAAACATCGAATTTTTAAGAAAATTGTTCAAATAATAGTCGCTTGTGATGTCATTCTCTATCATTTTTATTCTATACATGATTTCCCTAAAATGGACCATATTCGAGATATTTGAGGAAAAGAGAAAATTTCGAATTTCATTTCAAAAGTGGAGAAAAAAATAAACAATGATTTGCAAAAATAGTGTAGAAACTAAGATTTAGTATAAACAATAAATTTTTAATTAAAAAACACTAGAACAGGATAAAAATGACCCAAACACTAGATCTACTATAGAAACAGTAAATCAGTCAACACTGACTGCAATGGCAATTAATAGATGGGTGAGCTGATGAGCACAGACTTAAAAACAACTCGCGACCATAGAAATAGTAGTCATTACTATACAGGGTCTCAATTTAAAAACTTCCCATGGACAATCTCTTAATAAAAAAATATCAAAAAATTGCTTAGAACCAGTAGGTTTTTTTTCAAAATGGGACACTTTTCTAGCATATTCTCAAATGCCATAATATGTCATTTACCTCCCCTCGGTCACAGAAAAAAAATACAATCTAACTAGAGAGAGTACAAAATAAGACACATTATTAAAAAGGTATTTATATGGGAAATTCAGAAATATGACTGTTCATTGCGGTACTTTTGATTTTAGAGCCCTCTAGCGAGTTAAAAAAAAACTATTGTAAAATGTTAAACTTCATTTGAATTTGATTAGTAATTTAATGCACAATATAACCAAATATAATGTAATGAAACATACTTTAAATAAGCATAAGAATGTTTCCTTTTAATCGCAATCAACCAAAATATAAAATTAGCTTTCAGATAAAGAGACACTTTACAATACGTAACATATTTTTATTTTTTTATCCCGCTAGGGGACGCTAAAATCAAAAATAACGTAATTAACAGTCATATTGCTAAATTCTCCATAAAATTACCTTTTTAATGATGCGTCATACTTTGTACTTGAAATAAAAATCTACCTGTCTTAAGCAATTTATAATATCCTTTTTTATTAGGAGATATTGCCAATGGAAAGTTTTTAAATTGACATTCTTTATAACTGTCATCAGTATGTTGCCAACCATTTAAAAAAATCACAATCATTTATATTTATTGTTCTATAATGTTGCATAATACAAACAGAGCCGAAAAACATGATATAAACTAGTTGAAAATAGAATTAAAAGAAATACTTGCCATCGTCTTATCATTAATTTTACAGCTTTTCATTCCACACAGTCTACACGTCGCTCTAAACACGTGTTAGTAAATGTTTATTTTAAAACGGGGATGAACTGGTTGAGCTATTACGTGTGTCTTTTTATCCAACTGTTGCAGCAACGTTGGCATCGGTGCGGTATCACCTGTCTTTTTTTTTCATCAATCTATCAATGATGACTAACAGCGCTGTCTTTTTATCCAACGTTGATGCAATCGATGCAACACCATTCCATTATTTTCAGTATGGTTTTTCCGATTGGAAGTGACAACTGACAGCTATGGATTGCGGGATTTAGTCAGAATTAAGGAATTAATAAATTATTTAATTGTTTTTTAGTGGGAAAATCCGAAAAATGAGCTATTAAAAAATATATACATCTAAATTAAAGTATATAGGTACATTCAAATAAAATTATATACACAAATTTTAATCCAAAATGTCAACTGTTATTTATTTCAACGGTCAACCATAAATAAGTCGAATCCAACACAAGGCGTTCAAGGCCGCATCGGCGAAACAACAATTCCAACAAACCGGTGGAAAAAAAGACACACGTAATGCCCCGAAACAATGCCGTCCATTTCCGAAACAATGCCAGTATTGACGAAACAATGCCGGCATTGCCAAAACATTTCTAGTATTGCCGAAACAATTCCAACATTGCCTAAAGTATTTCCTAACATTTCCGAAAAATGTGTACACCTATTATTGCCGAAGTGGAAAGCTCCTCGGATACAATATCACTGCAAACTCACAAACAGTTATTAAAAATGTAAAAATGAAATTCACAAAATAAATGAAAACATACCTAATCATGACACTTTGTAAAGATCAAAGTGAAGTAGAATTCAAAAAAACTAAAAGAGTGAACCAGAAAAAAAATGTTTTTGAAGTAAACCATGATTGACAATAACAGAGATAGGAGTAATAACTTCGCACGGCTTTGAATTAAATCCAAACTGACACTTAGAAAGAAGAATCCAACATATAAAATTTTTCCGAATTTATTGTTACTGAAATATTACATATTTGCATTTTTTAGGCCGCCCCAAAATTGTCTGTTTATGACTCTTTAGATGATGAGGTAATTCAGAGCTACTTGGAGTTCTCTTTGGCCTCTCTTCTCTTCTATGCAATGAAAGAAGGAGCTTGCAGTGAACAGTCCTCTCGTATGACTGCTATGGACAATGCCAGCAAGAATGCTGGAGAGATGATTGACAAGTTGACTCTAACATTTAATCGTACAAGACAAGCTGTCATTACTAGAGAACTCATTGAAATTATCTCTGGTGCTTCTGCACTGTAAATCCAATAATAAAAAGAGCTGTTAGACCTAATGGATTATATATTTTGTCTTTAAAATTGCAATTGTCTTAAACAGCTTTAATTGAATTTTTAATGGTTTATGTTGTTAGTATGTTTTTTAAGAATTTGTACAGCAAGAAATGTGGTAAAAATGAAAGTAAGCCCAAATTCTCTTGATCGAGTTCAATTTTGAAGCAGATTTGCTGTAGTAAATTATTTTTTTTTGTCTGGAAGATGGTGAATTAAGTTATTTAGATTTTATTATCGTTTCATTATATTATACTAAAAAATAAAAAGTGAAAAATAATGAAAACATGTTATTGCTCATAAATTTTAAAGATAACAATATGGTCACATTAGAAACTGCTCTAACCTCTTCAGTTAAACAATTTTAGACTTAGAAATAATTGAGTAATGTTATAGCTCAAAAAAAATTGTAAGTTAAAAATAGATTTTAGGTGGATGTAGGTTTAATTAATATTGTTTACAATAAACACAGCTCTGATTATGACAGTTAATATGAATATAAAAAGAAAGTAAGCCCAAACTAATACAAAAAAAATTGTATTCATCTTTACTGTATGTCATTGAAATTTTGTTGATGTGAAAATGGTGGAATAAAAATATCTTTGTACATACTCCAACATTAGTTTTATTTTTCAACCTATTAAAATCATACTAAACACAGACGAGTTATATAGTGGAGAATCCCCTCCATAGATAGACTAAGAAATGTGTTTCTAGCCAAGTTTTTGTAACGGGCGCAACTAACCCTGAAAAGGAGGAGAAACTTATGATTGTGTTTTAAAGCAATAAAATTAACTAGAAAATGTAAAAATCAATAAAGAAGTAGAAAATAAAGGAGTTAAAGCTTAATTAAGGAAGTTTTTTTGATTCTATTACTCTTGAACGGAGCCAGTTGCACCGAAATGACGTCACAATTCGCTCTACGTTCACTCCCGTTCGTTCTCAATGCAGTATAGAAACGAACACGTTCGATAACCAAACCCGAGGTTAAAAATAAACGACTAGAGCCATTTGCACCCTTTAGGGCCATTCGTTAAGCGATAAGCTGAGGTTAAATTGACATTGAATGACATTTTCATTCGCACCGTCATTTTTCTTTTCGTTAAGTAGTAGTTATTTATAAGTTTACCTAAACTGACCATGCCTAAACTGTAAATTATTTGAGGTTTAAGATTTTAACGAAAGAAAATTGACAGATTTGTCAAATTGATAATTACGTGAAGAGCCATTATTTTTTAAAATTTGGTGTCGTGTCCAAATTAAAATGGATTTACTGTTAAGGGATGATGACGATGATAAATTGGAAGCTGTTGAATTAATATTAAATGGAATACCGCGAAGAGTGTATACGAGAAGCTTATATTTTGATAGTTTCGATCCACAGACCTTTTTTCTAAGATTTCGGTTATCAAAAGAGGCTGTTTTGGAATTATCATCGCAAATAGAGAATAATTCGAAATTTCCATATAATATGTTTGTAGGTATTAAATCCTACAATATTGGTATACATTTTGTGAGTTTATTCGATTTTTTTTAATGAATCCTATTAAAGAACAAGAAGCACCCTTGAGTAATATATGTAGAAGTACTACTTTGAAAATGATATCAATTTTCTTCAAGTTCTTGAACAATTTAGAGACCCTGACCTACCACCCCTACATGATTATGTTGCCATCAACCTCAGAAATGAGTTAATAGATTACTTTGAAGCCCATGATAATAGATTTGTATAATTCTTCAATAAAAATATAATTTTTAATATTTTTTTATAACTTTTTTTCTTACTAATAACTCTTGAAATAACCAAAAAACCAGTTGTTTAGTAAATATATTTTATGGTAAATACAATAGAAACGGAAAAATCGATAAATAAAGACCAAAAAAATTTTTTTAGAAATCATTTATAGCAAAAAACCATAAATCTAAATATCTGAAAAGCAATCTTATACTGGGTCATGATAAAAAAAGAAGAAAATCTCATAGTTGCCAAGTATTTTATTCGTTAAATAAAGCGTTGATTAAAAGCTGTTGGTGCGAACCATCTTATTATAAACTTCACGTTAAATTTATCTAAAGCTTAGTTAACGAATACTTTTATGTGGTACCCGTGCGAATGGCCCTTAGTCGTTAAGAACTAAGCGAAGCTTAAAGTGACATTGATAATAAAAAAATGTCAGTTTAAGCTTGCCTTATTTTTTAACGACTACCGGTGCAAATGGACCTAAGGAATTACGTATTTATATCAAATATGAACGGATTGAGTTTTGGGTTATTTAATTTTTTATTCAGACTTGTTTTGGAGCTAGAAGTTAAAATATTTTGTTTTGTTTTAGATTTTAAGGAGTTTAAGGGTGTATTTAATTATTAATAACATCAGATAAATTGAATGAGAATAAGATTTTAGCTCCTTGCAATGTTTGCTATTTCATCAATTGGGTATTTATCAGTAGTTAATAGTAGCGTTCGGATTAACCATTGGCTGGAACTGCACAAGAGCAGAGTTTTTTAGGGTGCTTTTAAATGACATTAAGATTAAGCATGTTGAAATGTCAATAATCAGACTAAACCAATGAACTGGAGTGGGGTAGAATGCTTGTCAATAGGCTTGAGATGCGACTCTATGGGCGAAGACAGGTTATTTTTCATCTCACTCGAGAGTATTTATAACGACCATTTTCTATTTCACTTTGTTATTGTCTGATCCACCAGCCTGTGGATTGAACAATAACAATGTGAAACAGAAAATGGTTATTATAAATACTCCCGAGTGAGATGAGAAATAAAAAAGGCTGCGCCCATCGAGTCGCATCTTGTTCAATTGATACAATATGCACATTAGCTTTCTACCCCACTCCAGTTCATTGGACTAAACCAAACACGAAAAGAATTGTTTGGAGTGAATGGAACTTGCCTGTCCAAACTTAGCTTATTAACACTTTTAAAAAACCACAAGGACACTCAACCAGCAGTTGAAGCGCCATGTCAGGACCAGGGTTTCATACTCCCTTAATCTATGACCAGGACCTATACCGACTCAATGGGTTTGTTTTGGTTCAAACAGAACCGTTGATTTTAGTTCTCAAATACAGCTGACGAATTAATTTTTCAAGAATATGTCGCGATAATATAATAACCAATTGAGCCCATCGAGTGTAATTCACTGATTCTGAACTAGTTCGTGAAAGAACCAAAAAAGCCAAAGGGCCATTCGCACCGCTTCAGAATAAATTTCCCCTTAGTAAAGTGAAACTTATTATTTAAGTATTACTTATCGTAGTTTAATTCGCACCAGCCTATTAGAAAGCAACGATTAATTAAGTGTCGGATTGATTTGGCAACGTCAAGATTTTTCTAAAAAAAGAAGAAATAATGTCAAATTTGAATTTTATTTTGAATGTTTAATGTGAAAGCTGCGTTCAATGAGTGTATAGGATTCTTGCTGTGATTGGGGTAGCGGGATCAGCTTACTGAACGGTACGCTCAATTTACAAAAATTAAATTTGTGTCGAACGATAATTCTAATTTAATGAAACGTAGCATTTGCAATTGAAAGTGAATTTGTTTATTTACCACTTGGAGTTTTCATCAACAATTTACAATAATTTAAGTATTTTTTTTTATTATTTTTATCACATTAATGAATGCACAACCAGGTTGTTCTTCTAGCAATCGTAAATAGCGATTGGTTTTAGGCGTTTTAGGTTGATTTTAAGAGGTTTCCCGCTCATCTTTCTTGATAGAAGCAGAAACTAGCGCAAAAATGAAACGCTCCCAAATGATACGGATCGATATAAATCAATACGTGTAGAACGAAAGCGAATTGGTATCGGTTGGGATTGTTATGTCTCACTGAACGCAGCAAAAGTTATGATTGTCACAGGCGCAGAAGAGAAAAAACTCTCTTTTGTGTCACAGGACTAATAAAAAAAAATAGATGAACTAAGAAGTAATAAAATAGAGCACGAAGTACAGCCATAATGAGAGTAAAATTAGTATTAATTCAATTAGTTAATACTAAAAAAATTATAGAAATCATACTAACGTTGAAAGATGCTAATTTTACAAAAAAGATTCACAAAAAAACACTTTTTATAAAAATGGTTATAATTGTGTTGTCTGTAAAAATATTTGAGTTTGAAACCTACATATTTATTATAAGAATACTATAAATTTGCTTTAATTTCATCAAGGCAATTAAGAATTTTCTTCGGCCAATTCTAATTGCAGTGTAAAAGTAATCGTTTTTTGTATATATTATTTTATATTCATCGTGGTATCTTATATTAATGAAATCAAGCATTTTCAAAGCCTCATCATCTTCCATTATTTCCATTTTGTGTATTGCAATTTTACAAATTTTAATAAATCAATGACACAATGACAGTCAACATCACTCAAAATTAGGCATTCCAAACAAATGAATTACCAGTGGGCAGGTTTGGTATATCTAATGGTGGCGACATATGATGTATTCTATCTACTTTACGTAAAATCATGAATAATGGATTACATTTAAATATTTTATGTCAAACACAATAAAAATAATATTTAAAAAACCCACCTATACATTTCTTCATAAATTGGCAGGCTTGGCGAGTACTACTTCGAATAAAAATAGCGTCCAAGTTGCAAGACTATGTCACTACCCCCCTAAATATACAAGAATTTCCCACTGGCACCTATTGTTTGACAGGTCGTTGGAATGCCTAATTATAAAAATTAAACATTTTAAGGTTAAGTAATGGTTTAAGCTGAAAAATTTCTGGGCTTAGTAAAGTGATTCTTAACGCCTTGATAAGTGGAACTTTAATAACGGTGCAAACGGTTATGCCTTCTTAAGTGTCACTTAGATGCTAAGTAAAAGCGGTGCGAATGGCCCTAATACAACCTAAACACCTAACCTTCAAAATATACTTGCTCTACCTTTTTTTAACCGACTTCAAAAAAGGAGGAGGTTATCAATTCGTCGCGATATTTTTTTTTTTATGTATGTTCAGCGATTATTCTTTAACACGGTGTCCGATTTCAATGATTCTTTTTTTGTTAGAAAGGGGGTATTTCAGGGGTGGTCCCATATAAATTTAGTCAAAATCTAATAATTGGGCCCATGAGAAAATCCTCAAACTCTTCATTTTTTATGTATATTCAGCGATAATTTTTTAACAGGGTGTCCGATTTCAATAATTCTTTTTTTGTTAGAAAGGGGCTACTTTACGGGTAGTCCCATATAAATTTGATTAAAATCTAATAATTGGATCCATGAGAAAATCCTCAAACTCTTCATTTTTTATGTTTGTTTAGCGATAATGCTTTACCACCTTGTCCGATTTATACGATTCTTTTTTATTAGTAAGGGGGTACCTCAGGGGTGGTCCCATATAAATTTGATTAAGATGTGGTAATGGCATCTGCACGTTTTTGAAGTCGGTTTTTTTAAATTTTTAATTTGTAATACTTGTTATGTAGTATTATTTGCATTGAGAGCGAATTGCACCTAGAATCAAATACAAACTTGCACTGACAGAATCTAAAAAAAACAAACCTCATTTAGTGTGCACTCAGTACTTAGTGAAATCGAAATCGCTAATGATTTCTTAGACTTTCAAAATGTTATCAAATTCACTCTGTAGATATATTTGAATATCTAAGTTAGGTATATATTTATTTAGAAATATTAAAGACCACAATAAAAAAAGGAAATTGTTTATTGTCTTATACTATTTTTAATCTTAATTATTATCACTTTCCTATTAAATATTCTTATTAATCATCATCATCCGATGTTTCACTTTTTTCACTATCTGTACTATCATCTTCTTCATTTGAATTAAATAAAAGCCCCTGTTTAATTTTGACTTGTTCTTTAACTTTTTCATCTTGTTGCTTTAAAATTTCTAAAGATTCTGATAAAAGAATTAATTTGGTGGGCTTATTACATTTACTCCAATCTTCCATGGTTTTGAACACTTTACGGTCAGTGTGAATTTCTTGAATTTTATTTAATGTAGAAAATGGTTTGTATCTTTCTTTTTTAGGATTTGTTTCAAGTCCACATATCTTCTGAACATGTTTATCTGCTTCTGAAATATTTAATTTCTGTAAACCGGCATTAATATCTGCTAGGTTCTCTCTATTTTGTATTTCCTGTTTAACACATTCATAAAATTTTTTAATAGAATTTCCTTTATCTGGTAATTTTGACATTATTAATTTGTTTTTTAATAAAGATTCTTCACGTGCTAATACCTCTCTTAATTGAATTACATCCATTTTCTTTATACTTACAGTTTTTTGGCTAGTGTCTTTAAGAAATTTAATTTGTTCTAATGATTCTGCCATAGGTAAAAATTTTGAAGCACTATTTTGATATTCCTCACTTCTCACTGAAGTGCTTGGTGGAAAGATACATCACCGAACACTTAAATTATTTTGGATTAATATGCAGCTGAAACAAATGTTCCAATAATAATTATTATTAAAATAGCGCGTTATTGGTTATTAATAAAAAACAATATAACTTATCACAGTAGCACAGAATAATTACTGTGACAGTAGCACAGAATAGGGCTGTTACAATGGAACTGGACCTGTTACTTTGGAATAGGTATCTCCTGCCTATTCCGCGTACCTGTTACCAAATTTCACACAAACCTATTACTTGTGTCACTGGATGCTATCGCGCGTTGTAAACTGAAACGGAATGATATGGGATTAGTCAGGCAACTTGTAATACGTTCGTGTACCTATTCAGTATTTTGGTAATAGGTTTCGTTTGATGTTTCAACTCTCTTGATTGTAGGTATTTTTTTTTTTAGGAATTATAATATGTTTATAAGACAGGAGAATATTTACGAACTAGTGAAATTTTAAAATTATTCAGAGTAATTGAAATTGTACTGCAAGGTGCTTTCCTAGGTGTTTTTTTTTTATAAGAAATTACTGTTTTGCACACATTTTGCAATTAGTTTTTTGTCATCTACCACCGAAAAAAAAAAATTCCACACTACACTCGAACGTCTATTCATAATGAACAAAAATTTAATTAATATTATGTAAATAAAGAACAGCACCCTTTAAGTTCAATACAATATCGATCGATATTATATATTATGCTTATGAGATTCATTAGATTTAGGGATTCACCTACTTCCTACTGAATATGCGCCAAGCGCCAACAATATTCAGTCATAAAATTTTGGAATAGCTTGTAACGGGAATAGGTATTTGGAATAGGTATCTACTTGGAACAGGCACAGGTCGTACTAGATACGTCAAAAAGCTATTCCGTAACAGCCCTAGCACAGAATAGTGGTTATACTAGGCGAGTTCGGTCAGTCAGGGGCTGGAGCGGGACAAATTTTAGGGTGCTTTTAAATGACATTTAAGCGTGTTAAACTGTCACTAATCGGACTAAACCGAACGCTAAAAGAGTCGTTTGGAGTTAAAAGTGTTAAAGGAGTTAAAGGAACGTGGCAAACCGAACGCAATGACTAGGCGAGTTCGGATAGACAGGGGCTGGAGCGGGACAAATTTTAGGGTGCTTTTAAATGACATTTAAGCGTGTTAAACTGTCACTAATCGGACTAAACCAATGAACTGGAGTGGGGTAGAACGCTTGTCAATAGCCTTGAGATGCGACTCTATGGGCAAAGACAGGTTATTTTTCATCTCACTCGGGAGTATTTATAACAACCATTTTCTATTTCACTTTGTTGTCTGATCCACCAGCCTGTGGATTGAACAATAACAATGTGAAACAGAAAATGGTTATAATAAATACTCCCGAGTGAGATGAGAAATAAAAATGGCTGCGCCCATAGAGTCGCATCTTGTTCTATTGATACAATATGCACATTGGCTTTCTACCCCACTCCAGTTCATTGCTGGCTACACGAGCGCCATCTTAATTGCATACATTTTGGTGGCCACTTTTTAATATAAAGATCCATATAAGATTTTCCTCCTTTTTTCTACCCTCCATATAGTTAAACAAAGGATAATAGGTTCTTTCGTTCGCTATTGGTGTAGTGTCCAACAGTGTAAATTACACCAGTTACACCACCTTATTTACCCTAATTTACTTCCTCCTTATTCTTTATACACATCATCGAGTGTAATTCACTCCTGCTAAATAGCTGGGGACCTATTTTCAAAGTATGTGAGCACTCATTTCTCTCAAGATTCTCATCAGAAATGTCATACGTCAATGTGGAAACGCTGTATTTAAAGACATCGAGGATTAAAATTCTTAGGAGAATTTTAATTATCTCTAAATAAACCGAGAGAAACAGTCAGTGAGTTCACACTGGCCCTAAGAGCCCTAAAAATACGGTTTTACGTTGACGTATGACATTTCTCTTGAGAGAAATGAATTCTCTCGAGTTTGAAAATAGCACCCCTGGGGACCTATTTTCAAAGTCGAGAGAATTCATTTCTCTCGAGAGAAATGTCATACGTCAACGTAAAACAGTATTTTTAGGGTCCTAAGGGCCAGTGTCAACTTACTGATTGTTTCTCACGGTTTATTTAGAGATAATTAATATCCTCCTAAGAATTTTAATCCTCGAGGCCTTTAAAAACAGCGTTTCCACATTGACGTATGACATTTCTGATGAGAATCTTGAGAGAAATGAGTACTCACACGGTTTGAAAATAGGTCCCCTGGGGGGCTATTTTCAAACTCGAGAGAATTCATTTCCATCAAGAGAAATGTCATACGTCAACGTAAAACCGTATTTTTAGGGCTCTTAGGGCCAGTGTGAACTCACTGACTGTTTCTATCGGTTTATTTAGAGATAATTAAAATTCTCCTAAGAATTTTAATCCTCGATGTCTTTAAATACAGCGTTTCCACATTGACGTATGACATTTCTGATGAGAATCTTGAGAGAAATGAGTGCTCACATACTTTGAAAATAGGTCCCCTGGGGGGCTATTTTCAAACTCGAGAGAATTCATTTCTCTCAAGAGAAATGTCATACGTCAACGTAAAACCGTATTTTTAGGGCTCTTAGGGCCAGTGTGAACTCACTGACTGTTTCTCTCGGTTTATTTAGAGAGAATTAAAATCTTCCTAAGAATTTTAATCCTCGATGCCTTTAAAAACAACATTTCCACATTGACGTATGACATTTCTGATGAGAATCTTGAGAGAAATGAGTACTCACACAGTTTGAAAATAGGTCCCCTGGTGGAGAAAATATCCACCAGTGTACACTACATCGCCGACAGGAAGGTATAGTGGGTTTTACACCGGACCAAACGAAAGGTATGGGTGTGGGTTAGTGTAGTTCATTACTACACCCAACTACACCAGTGGGACGAACGAAAGAACCTAATGACAAACTTGGCTTCACAGAACACTTACTTTCTGGCATGGAACGACCATCTTTCACATCTCACACATACTAGGTCTTTTCCTTTGCATCCACAGTCATTGCGTTCGGTTTAATTGCCACGTTCCTTTAACTCCTTTAACACTTTTAACTCCAAACGACTCTTTTAGCGTTCGGTTTAGTCCGATTAGTGACAGTTTAACACGCTTAAATGTCATTTAAAAGCACCTAAAATTTGTCCCGCTCCAGCCCCTGACTGACCGAACTCGCCTAGTGTAGCACTGAGCTACGTCACTTCTGAAAATATCGTTCCATCCATACAATTTGTATAAATGGAACGATATTTTCAGAAGTGGTGTAGCTCAGTGCTACACTTTCGATGCAAAGGAAAAGACCTACTTTGATTTTCTTAAGTATGTGACATCTCATTTAAAATCAAGATGTAAAAAATGTAATCTGGACCACTGATCTATAATAATACAGATCAGTGATCTGGAAAGGTACATCTCGGATAAACAAACGCAGATGTTCGGTTGCCACAGAGAAGCATTCGATTCGGTTTCGGATTTTATTTCTATCCTTCTATTCCTTTTTGATTCCGAATGCGTATTCGAATTTACCCTATAAATACGAATCCTTTTAATATTCGGATTGAACGGATTTTTGGATACGTATTCTTACATCACTACTTTGAGGTCTAGTCTATTGTCTAGTACACAACAGTCTAAGTTAGGTCTAAACATGCCCTTATTTGTAAAAATCGATTTATTTTCCATCGAATATTTAAAAAATCGAACCTCTTTCTTTTAGGTTAGGGTTAGGCCATTTTATTAATGTAAACGTTGACGTTTACAATTATTATCTTATCAATAAATAAATATTTAAATTGTTGATAACAATGCTTAATCTACTATATAAGTCTAGTTACGTTTTCGTACTATTTTATTATGCAGTAATTCCGTTGGGTTATTTAACGAAGTAAGTAAATTCGAGGTAAGTTTATTTAAATACATGACTAAAAACAAAGTTGCAGTTTTGTTATTGGCAATTATTATTTGTTTAATATTTTTCATTTTCTAATAACATTCGAATTAGTAAATCAAACAAAATTAACTAAACAACCATATACGTAATATCGACTGTCTTAACCTTTATTGTGTTTCAGGTGGTGGGTCACTGTTGAAAAAATGAAGGGTAACAGCACAATTTTGGTGACAGGGGGTTCGGGCTACGTAGGCTCTCACACCGTAGTCGAGCTACTAAAAAATAACTATACAGTGATAGTCTTAGATAATTTAGTTAACAGCTACTCTGATGGAGGTTGTAAGCCCGAAGCTTTGAAAAGGGTGGAAGAAATAACAGGGGAAACTGTTACATTTTATAATGTAGATGTCAGTGACAGAGCTGCTTTGGATAAAGTTTTTAAAAATGTATGTTTAGATAATGGCACTAATTTGCTATTCATGAGCCAGCCCATTATATTCATATACAGGTTGATTTAAGTTTCTCATTTATTTGTAATACAAGGTAGTGTAAGAATTATTATATTTTAAGTAGAAATGAAAAACATAAAGTCTGTCGACTACAGGATATTTAATAAATCCTGTGGTTGACATTGTAGTTTTCTCATTTCTGCTTAATCACTTTTAGATATGGATAATATTTGGAATTGATTATATTTTGTTTCCTATTTTTTTATGCATTTAATAAATCCCCATTAAAATATTCTTATTTTTAAAGCTACAATAAATTTTCCTTCAGATTGATTTCTCACCAAATTACATTAGTCATTTTTATAACTTTGTTATTCTTTGATGTTTAAACATTGTCACTACTCTAGTATATTTTGAATCAACCTGTATGTAATTGACTTAATTTACACACTTAAGTACATTTACTGAAAGTTTAAATTATACTTGAAGTATGAGTGGCCAATAGTTTTAATATACTAACTGTAACACTTCATTTGATTTCAGGTTAAATTAGTTATTGCCTAATTATGAAATTCTATTTTCTTGACATATTTTAGCATAAAATTGATGCCGTAATACATTTTGCTGCCCTTAAATCAGTAGGAGAATCAGTAAGAATACCTTTAAAGTACTACCAGAATAATGTAGGTGGATCTGCAATACTTTTAGAAGTAAGTCTACAAATTTTAAAACAGGATATGCACCAAATATCTAAAATAACCTACCTATTATTCATTTTTTTTTTGTGAGCACTAGTAACTTGTCCAATAATTGACACTATTAGATGCTGATATGTATTAAATAATTAATCTCACTGTTAATAACTGTTTAAAGCATATAATTTTTTTTTTTTTCGTATAAGTAATTTATAGTTTGTCTAGTTCATTGATGTGTTAGTTTTCGGTTTAATAATTTTATTTTTCTTGAAATAAGTATAGAAATGGTTCTTTAAAGCACCAGACATTGACACTTGATTTTTTTCTTGTACCAGTAAATGGCACCAATTATTGACACAAACTAAAGATATTATTTTATATTATACTTAAAATTTTAATACACTAAGTAAGCAGCAAATTCACAACTTTAGCATGTGAATAATTTTTTGTAGGTACCACAACTGTATCAAAAGAAATGTGTTCCAGTTATTGACACTTGTTCCACACCCCTGCCAATAACTGAAGTTATAAAAATAATAAAAAGTTTATTGTAGATTTTTTTTGACAGTATGATAGCACTTTGTATCAGTATTTGCTGTTGTACCAGTAATTGACAGGGTTTGTCAATATTGGGAACTTACTAGTTTTGCTTGTTCTAATTAATTACACTTAAATAAAAATGATGTTATATGCTTTACAACTATACAAACCAGTAAATCCATCAATGTTGTTTAATACACACCCAGGGATAATCTAAATAAATTTAACATGAAATGTTGAAAATATTCAATTTGGACTTACCGACCTTATGATTTTTTTTAAATACGTGTTCTTTTATCCATTTTGTGACTGACTATAAAGCCACCCAACATCTATTATGTATGCTACAGGGTAGCTAAATATTATAATAATACTGATGTTTCAGAGAAATTTCTGATTTTGAGTCTGTCTTTATTTTTGAAGACCCATTGAATGGGTGTCAATTACTAGAACACTGTCAATTATTGGTTCACTTACTATATACTTGTATGTGTTTGTACTTAAACCGTGGGTTTTAGGTTATGGCCTGCAATGGTGTGAAGAATGTGGTATTTTCTTCTTCTGCGACTGTTTATGGTGACCCACAGTTCTTGCCAATTACTGAAAGCCATCCTACAGGACAAGGTTGCACCAATCCTTATGGAAAATCTAAATATTTTGTGGAGGAAATTATGAAAGATGTGTGCACTGCAGATCCTGTAAGTTTTTTATAAATCTATTTTTTTTTATTTGTTAAATTAAATTAACATTGATAACAATCTTTTATTCCCTTTCTGTAAAATTTTACTGTGAATACCTGAAGATCAACACCTGCTTTTGGTAGACACATTTTAAATTTTAGATAGATCTTTTATTATCACACATTGTATATGTGTCAGTAATTATTCTTTAATTTTATAAAATAAAGCCTATAGGTTTACTTTATCACAAGGCATCCACTGTACATATTACTGAGATTTTGCTTTAATGGATCAGTCCACAGAAAATAATGTGTCTTCAAAAAGATTAAATCTTAGTCTTTACTATTAGTAAAAATGTCATTTTGTTCTTCATAGGGTGTTTTAATTATTAAAAATAGGTTTTATGAAATATTACTTATTGGTTAATTTCAATTATCATTTCTGTGCAATCTTAGGTAAATACATTTTATGTAATCATTTAATTTTTTTTTGATGCTCCATAAACACTCAAAAAGGGTTTATTTTTGTTTTATCTTAATAATCCACTCAAATTGATTGCTGCTTATAAATATGATTATCATTTTAGTAAAATACTAGGTAACATTTAGCGATTTAAGATAATACAATTTGCCAACAATATTGGTTAATTTAAAAACTTGTATTTTAAACTACTGTGTAACTATAACACAGTTCCATTTTTGATTGATTTTTTTTAATTTTATAATGCATTTTTGATGCGTAGTTGCTCGCAGTTGTTTATTATTTGACATAAATATGTATTTGTGCAGAATCTAATCTTTCAAATTTAGTAACCTCGTTCATTGCTGCTAGCTTTAAAGGGTGATGCAAAAGTCATGCCCTCATTTATGATTTGAATAATTGTGACACCTATTAAAACATTTAAATTTAATACATGAGAAAGATTTATTGCAAGCTTTATATTCACATTCGATTATTTGCCAAAGATGATGTCAACCAAATGGCCACCTCCAATGGCAATTCAACGACAAGCTCTTGTCTTATGTTGGCGTTGAGTACTTCCAGAGTTTGTGATCAGTTTACGTCCACACGATCCTTCAAATAACCCCACAGAAAGAAGTCTTATGTGATCAAATATTCTGGGTGGCCATGGTAAATCGTCATAATTTCGAAATAAGTTACTCAGGAAACATTTAAATGAAAATGGATCTAGTGTCGAGAGCTGATAGTGCCGTAATACTATCGTGTTGAAACTACACGAGTTCTTGATCAAATTCTTGTATTTTTGGTGTTTTCTTCCAGGATCATTCATTCGAAAAAAAAAAAACAACACAATCTTTCTGCTTGCTGTGAAAGCGCACCATACTGTCACTTTTGGCGATGTAGTGGAGTTTCATGAATGATTCGAAGATATTCACTGTTCCAATAACAATAAAAAAAAAGGCTGTCCATTTGTCAGAAAATGATTTTAATGAGCAAAAAATATTGTTACTACTACCCTACCTTATGTTGATATTGAGAATCTATTGAGCTATAAAAGACTTCCTGTATGATGTTCTTCAACATCCCTTTAATCTTAAATGTTCAGCAAGAACTAGATTTGTGCCTTTAATTATTGTATGTGACTGAAATGCAATTTGTGACTTACGGATAGGAAACCAGTTTTAATCATTCATTCTGTTTTCTTTCGAACAAAAATGAAAATATAAATAAACAATCCTTCTGTTTATACATTTTAACTTCACGCTATTATTTAATGGTATTTTTTTATTTTGACAGAATAGGTTAATTCTTTAAAGACAACTTATTAGACTTAGACAACTTCTTATAGTGCAGGACATAGTGGCGCATTCGTTTGTAAAATTGTTTTAATTCGTAATTTTTTTTTAAATGTCTGGAAGGCTTTCCTGATTATAAAAGTGTAAGATGACACTCGATATCTGTTAATGTCATTGTTTAAACAACGAAAATTAATTAAGCCAGAAAAAATGCATTTTTTGCAATGAATTAATTTTTTTTATATTCTTTAGGATATTTCGAATAAAAAAGTCCTTACGCCGATCATCGTATCTTTAACCCTTTAATTGTTATGAATGTTTTAAAATCCGAAATTGACGAAAATTTTAATTTTCTTGAATTTCATAATATACCTTAAAATTTAAAATGCTATAATTTTAAATTTTTTACCGAATATTCAAACTATAATAAACAAAATAACCTAAATAAATTTTCAAAATTTTGTTTGTTGTTATGTTTTTTTTTACATTATAACAATATGCTTCCTACGCGCGTGTACTTTTATACTGCCTGAGAAGTAAAATCTTCTTCAACCTTTTTTTTTTTTTCTTTTTTTAGTTTCAGCGATAAAAATATTGTTTATTATAGTTTGAATATTCGGTAAAAAATTTAAAATTATAGCATTTTAAATTTTAAGGCAAATTAGAATTTTCGTCAATTTCGGATTTTAAAACATTCATAACAATTAAAGGGTTAAAGATACGATAATGGGCGAGTTTTATTGATTATACTTTTTTTTTTATATAGTTTCAGCGATAAAAATATATAATAATAAATTAATGTTTCACTTGTTTTACAAATTAATCTACTTTTATTAAAACTAACAGATATACTTTTTATTTACGAATTCTGTTAAAAATTGTATTGTCAGATTCGCAAAAATAGTCCATTAGTACATAAATGAATTAGCGCTGCTGTCACGCACGGAGCGAATATTACTGTGGGGTAATGCAACTGATTCCATTATAATTTTCTGTCAGCAAAAAAAAGCAATAAGACTATTATCAGATGCTCAATTTAGAGATTCCTGTAGACCAGTGTTCACTACTTATAAGATCATGACTTTACCTTCGTTATTTATATTTGCAAATTAATTGAAATGCATAATACATGAATAGGTACTTATGTTAGAGGTCCAAGATACAGATTATCAAAATCAGAACATGATTCAATTAACTTTAATTTATTTAATATATTACCTGAATACATAAAGACCTTAAGTTATCTAAATTACAAAAATACTTTAAAAAACTTCTTTCAAAGAATAATTGTATTTTATTTAGTTTTAGAATTCCAGGAATACATTAAGAGTGGTTTGCCCACTGATCATGAACACTCATCCAATCACAGAAGTAATATAATTTATGTTCAGTAACTAGTATTAGTTTTAAATGTATGTATATATGTTTTTGTTTTTTTTTTATGAGTGTTTGTGTGAGGTGAATTTATGCTGAATTAATAAGTTAGTATTAAGTTATATTCTGTTGTGATCTGCTGTTAATCATTTATTGTAGTGACAGTCAGCGATGGCATCATTGAGACAGCAGTGTGCTTTGTTACTCAATTTGCAATTTGTTTTTCAAGGGTGGTATTAGCATTATATACGCCTTTCTAAGTCTGCACGCTCTAGGTATTGCATTACTTGAACCTTAAATAGGTATAGGTACAATGCCTAACTGCGTTGATCGCTTTCTTGTGCTCATTTTTGGATTTTTTTACATCTATAACTAGGTCAATATCACCTATTGATCAGCTTGTGCGAGGCCTTTCAGAACGTGCAATGTCGCTGACAGTCTCTCGTTCCTCAAGTCATCTAACAATGTTACGAATGTGGTCGTGATTTTTGCACCACCTGTTAGATAATAATATTTGCTGATTTTCATTTGTATCTTTTATTCCTCATGTAACAATAAAACGTAAATAAATTAGCGCCCATTAGAATCTATCCCCTGGGGATTATTAGTGTGTTTATGGCAACCGAACCCATAACATAAGCAAGTGGAAAGTTAAATATATTAGGTACATTTTTCTTGGTATGTATCTAATTTTTTTTTATAGTTTTCTACGTAAAACAACATTACATAATTGAATACCATTTCTATAAATAGAGTTTGGAAATACCATATACTAAGTAATACATTAGGAAATTTAAAGGAATAAACTCAAATATCTATTGGTTAAATTTAATTACATCTTTTTTATTGGTATAAAAAAACTTTTCGAAACCACTACAAAAACTAATTAACCTAATGCCAGACTCTACACACGTTTTGCTGACTGTTTCAGCATAATCAAGGCGATGATAAACATAAATGATAAATGTTTAGTTTGAACAAAATTAAGGTTAAGAAACTAAACTTTACAAATAATTGAATTTCAAAATACACTAGTGTTAGTTTTGTTTCTACAGGGTGCAACAAAAAGATGTACAGTAAATGTAACCACAGTTTCTGGGATCGAAAATAAGCCGATTTAAGCTAACTTTCTTATATAAAAAAATGAATAGTAAAAAATTGAAATTTTAAAAGTGATTTTTTGCTCTTACTCTAAAACGACTTAACATATTTTTGTGAAAATGTATGTTAGTATAGAGTGTCCATGAAAATGGTTTTTGTAGGGGTTCTGCACCCTTTTAACCCCCTTCTTTTTTAAACAATGAGATTCAGTTAAAAAGAGGAAGCCACTGAAATCCTATCTGTTCTGAATGTTTTCTGTCTCTTGGTATTTGTTTGTGAAATCCTTAATTATCGAGTTATAGGCCCTTGAAGAAAGATATTCACAATGAAATTTTTCTATTGATCCACTGAATAATATTTGTTCACGATTTTTTTTTTTTTTCTATTTTGTAACTTCAATTATAATTTATTCCCTAGTAATATCGATGGTCTATGAAGTTGTAAAAGAGTTAAAAAAAATCTTGATCAAATATTCAGTAGATCAATAGAAAAATGTCATTGTAATTTTTACTTTGACCTTCTTTCAGGGGCCTATTAATTAAGCCTTTCAAAAACAAATACTAAGAGACAAACAAATTTCAAAACAGATGTAGGTTTTTAGTGATATCCTGTTTTTAACTAAATTTCATTGTCTAAAAAAGTTGGTTGGCCAAAGGGGCGAGGAATCCTTCTAAATACCCATAGAATTAAAACAATTTTGGACGTCACTGATTCCATTTTATTGGTCACTGTATACAAACATATATAAGCAAAAATTCACTTCTAAAATTTCTACTTTAACATTGT